AGCTCCGCGCGGCGGCTCTGCGTGTCCAGTTGAGGTCTCCCGCAGCCCTCCGCGCCTGGGGACTCGCTGCCCGGTGCCCCAGCGGGGCGGAGCAGTCCGGCCGAGGCTCGGGGAGCCCTTTGGGAACTTACGGGTTGGGGAACACGAAGTCAGAACACCTTCTGCAGCAGAGTGAGGGACGGTGCAGCGAGACTCAGTGGGAGGCGATTTTGAAGGGATGGGCAAGGAAGGCCTTTCTGAGGGGGTGGCCTTTGGATTGAACCCGAACGGAAGGAGCTGGGGAAAGGGATGCTCAGTGCGGGGGACAGGAAGGGCGCCAACCCTCCAGGGTACCTGTTCCTGGAGGAGAGGGTTTCGCCTCCTTGGTTGCCTGGTGTGGGGATGCACACACTGTGGCTGTTTGAGGACTTGGACCCAGTCAGCATCTGGACGCCGTCTCTGCGACCAGTAATAAGAAACACTTGTTTGTGCGTCCACTTATTTGTTTATTGTTTGTCTCCACCATGGACTGCCAGCCTCGCAGGGTGAGGACCTTGCCTGACTTGTTCTCATTCCCCAAGCCTTAGCACAGCCCTTGGCATTTGTTGGCACTAATAGGCGTTTGTTGAATGAATGAACAAGCTTTTATTGAGTGCCTGCTATGTGCAGACAGTTTTTGGTGCTGATCCAGTGTGAGCAAGGCAGCCAAAATCTTGGAGCTCACAGTCCTGGGAGGAGACAGAAAAAAATACACTCTTCTTATGAGCACTTCTCTATGGAGGAAATGAACAGAGGGTGGAAGTGAGACTGTTAAGCAGGACCTCATTCTGGTGGAACTGAAATTCACTCAGGCAAACACCATTGTTGAGCTATCATTTTCATCTTGTGTTTTTTGTTTTTCTTAATTTCACAAGGGAATGCCCCGGCCCAGGATCTGATATCAGGGATCCCTGGGTTGGACCCATAATGTGGTTGCAACAGTTGTGACAGGTGAGTGACAGATGAGGCTGAAGGCAAAGTGCAGTGCTCATCCTCATTCCTGGAGCCACTTGGGCGTCAGCACATGGTACCTGCTCACCTGGCAGGCACAGTGCCATAAGGTGTGCCCTAAAGGGCTGGGCAGCTGCTGCAAGGGAAACAGATTGCTTTTCAGGTAGATTTGTTCTGCCCTCTTAGGACTCAAAGCAGAGCACTTACCATAATTCATTCGTAGGACTTTGAACAAATGCTCTAATCACCATAGAGATTCAGGTTTCATTCAGTGTTACATGAGGTCATAGACTGTATACTTAGAGTCAGTGAAAGAAAAAGAAAGTCTGTTCCATTTTTTTCAGAAGGAAAATAAAACTAAGATTCTGTGCTGAGACCTATGTGGTGCTAGGTTTTCCGTGTGCTTTGTGGGTGCCGACAGCCCATTCCAGCTCTTCTCACGTCTTTTTGGTGTTTCTGACTAACTTTGCATTCACTGTGTGGAGTCACTGATACCAGTGCTTTCTGGTTCACTTAGGCTTTTTTTCAGTAACTCTCATGAAGGGAAGCCAGCAGGTCAGGGACATCAGTAGCAACAACCAGGTGTAGACCTGGAGAAAAAAATGTTGTGCAACTAGGGTAGGGGTCTGGGAGCTGAGGTGGCTCCCTGTTGTAAGGGTCCTTGCTAAGAGCAGTGTTCCTGTTCAGTCCTGTAGCTGCTGGAGCCCAAGGTCCACAGTGGAGGTACGAGTATACACAGCACAGGTCTTTTCTGCCTGGCTTTCTAGGTTAAATGCGGTCTTGGAAGGAATCTGTGTTAAAATGTACTTTATGCCTAGAGACTGGGGAGGCGGAGGCAGGAGAATTCCAAGTTTGAAGCTAGCCTCAATAACTTAGCATAATTGTGCCTCAACATAACAAAAAGAACTGGGGATCTAGTTCTGTGGTAAAGCAGCCCTGGGTTCAGCCCCCAGTATGAAGAAGAAAGGAAAATGTACTTCATCCCATTAGCTTTGAATCAAGAGTAACTGCCATCCTAAAAGAAAAAGCCTTCCAGATTTTGTAACATGACCCACGCAACAGGATAGAAGTCTATGCAAGTAGCTGCAGTGGTGTGCCAAATCCAGTTGTGTTTGTACCAGTGCCACAGAAGTGTGCCTGGTCACACAGATTCTGCTCTTTGTAGAATTGTAAAGTTCATTTAAAGTTAAGAAAGAAGAAGTAGTGTCCATCTAGCCAGCTTGATACATGGCTTCCTACTCCAGTTCTCAGACCTGTAGAAACAGGTTGACATCTGATTCATGAGGAACTTGGACATGGTTACTTTAGGTTAGTATGACCTCCAGAAGTGAATGAGAATTGATAAACAGAAGTGAAATGGAATTTTATCTTTCTTCTGGGTGATTCTTATTTTTGATACTGGGGATTGAACCCAGGGGCGCTTAACTGCTGAGCCACATCCCCAGC